TTTTGTACCTCTCTCACCAAGGCTCTTCTCCCTCGATAGCTCAGTTTGGCCGGACGGCCAGCTCTAGGAAGGGTTCTGGTTGTCCCAAACGTCGTCCATTTAAGGATTGTGGAGGCCACTGTCCTCTTGGGAATCTTAAGTGCAGCAGAAATTTTTTTGTAACCTTTGCCAGATCTGTGCCTTGCCACAATTCTGTCTCTGAGCTCTTCAGGCAGTTCCTTTGACCTCATGATTCTCATTTGCTCTGACATGCACTGTGAGCTGTAGGGTCTTATATAGACAGGTGTGTGGCTTTCCTAATCACGTCCAATCAGTATAATCAAACACAGCTGGACTCAAATGAAGGTGTAGAACCATCTCAGGGATGATCAGAATAAATGGACAGCACCTAAGTTAAATATATGAGTGTCACAGCAAAGGGTCTGAATATTTATGACCGTGTGATATTTCAGTTTTTCTTTTTTAATAAATCTGCAAAAATGTCAAATTCTGTGTTTTTCTGTCAATATGGAGTGCTGTGTGTACATTAATGAGGAAAAAAAATGAACTTAAATGATTTTAGCATATGGCTGCAGTATAACAAAGAGTGAAAAATTTAAGGGGGTCTGAATACTTTCCGTACCCACTGTATAGTGGCTCTAAATGTACCTGTAAAAATGGTAGATCCTTTGCTCTGAGGTCTGTCTCAATATCCCTGATGGTGGAAGAGAGGGCTTCAGTCTGGTCTTTGACATTTTTCAGCTTCTCACACATCACCTGTGTCTTTACTTCCTCTTCCTGTTTGAGCACCTTCAGCCGACTGTTTTCCTCCTCTTGAAGGAACAAGTGTAGCTTCTCAAACTCCTCCTTAATCATTTTCTTGTTTTGATACGCTTGGGTCTGTGATTTTGAGGAGGCTGGTTATGAGCAGAGGTTCAACAAACTGGATGTCATGTACTAAATGATGGACACAGCGAACGTGCTAAATTTTACCTTTTATGTAGGTTTTTGTTTCCTCCCACCGCTGCTTTGTCTTGTTCAGTAGTCTGGGCCTTTTCCTTAAAGACTTGAGCATGGCTGAAATTTCTGCCTGAAATGGCCACAAGAAAATTGCGTTAAAATCTAGAACTTAAACAATTTTTCAGTTGACAGAAAATCAATTGGTAAATGTACCTATTTTCTCAGTTTCTATTCTTTTAACTTTTTTGTTGAGCCGCCTCCACTATTGGGCAGCACTCGTGAACTTTGTGCTGTTTTGATGTTTGGCACATGGCACAGGTGGGCTCTTTGTTGTCCTGACAAAAAATCTCCAGCTTTTCATTGTGAAAAAAAACAAACATCCCAATCCCTGCTGCTCCTTTGCGCTTGATATTTGTCCGCAGCTATCTTTAGTGCCAGATTGATAGGTCTCCCGGGGACGGACACTGTGCAACACACAGGACATTCTCAACATCCTTTCCATTCCCAGAATTTCTGTAAACAAACTCTGCAGACATTGTGGCCACATTGTAAGAGAACAGGAAAGCAAAAAATGTCAGAGCACTGAGGACAAAGTGAGTCCTTTTCAGAGAATGGATTCATTGCTGCCATCAGGGTGAAGTGTTCTTGCGAAGTGAGGTTACAGAAAAATTTCCTTCCTGCTTGTCAGGTGCGGTGACTGGATGTGGTACAACCCCTTAATGCTGTGTTGAGATGTCACTAAACTAGTATGACTGGTTACATACGTATGTACTCCAAATAAGTGTGTCCAAACCTTTGACTGGTAGTATATGTAACAAAAACAAACTTAGATCGCAAAATAATTTTACTTTCAGTGCACTTTATTTTACATAATGAAATGTTTCCATATTTGACACAGTAATATGGTTTGACTCAATGCATAAATATATTAACAATGCATTTTAGTCACACTGAACCATGGTTATACCAACATATCTAGAAAAACATAATTCTACATGTATTTAAATGTTGTGTTATTACTGCATTAATCCTCTGAAGAGGAGTCAAAAACAGAGGTAGTTTAGACTGTTAAAGATGAGTGGCTGTACTGTCAGAAAAAATCGTCACCAGAAGCAAAATACCCGAGAAACAAGAAGAAAAAGTCTAGATAAAATCTGTGCTTTATAAGCATTTGACTGTAGCACAGGTAAACAGACAGTGAATCAACATTGTTTTGGATGCAGGGATCTAAAACAAGTAGCAGGTGCCTTTCAGAAGTGCGGTGCCATCAGGTTGAGGTGTCCCTGTGAGGTTACGTTACAGGAAAATATCCGTCCTGCTCTTCAGGCAGTGATGTAAAATGAGGAACAAGTGCTTGTGCGGTAAAAGTAAATATGTTGGTCTCTCTCTTCTCACGCTGCCAACCTGCTTGCACGTTGTATAGAGAGAGAAAACCAAATACTTTAAAGTACAGCTGCAGTATTGTGTATTTCTCAAGTTTGTCACCTCTTAAAAAAAAAGTTTCAAAAAGGGTTCATCAAAAGTATTTTGTGCCTGCAATGCCAGCCTTTTATACCATACACCCTACAAAAATATTAACATAGTAAGCTTACTACATGTTTTGAGGAAAACCTACTGTATATGAAAGATCTTGTGTAAGCCCACATGATTTTAACTGACTTTTTTCCAAATCACGTCTAAAATAAATTTAAGATGAATGATTAAAACCTATGAATATTAAGAATACTATAACAAACAATTATGAAACAGCTATATATACACAGTTATATTGGCACATAATTTGATGTAATCCAACCTTGTTGCTCAGCATTGTAAATGAAACATGCAACAGTTGCTGTGCTAGCCCAGCTTTTTGGCTTTCTCCCTCTAAATTACAATGCCATTGCAAGTAAATAATTTTAATCATCTACTGAGATTGTACCATATAATTCTTGTTTACATATAACTACAAATATGAAAACACAACATTAAAGCAGGCTGTACATGTCTCCTCTAAATAATTTTAAGTGTGTCTTGGTCAAAGGAGATCCTTTCCCAGTAGGTTTCCTTCTCAACAATATTTATGCTTCAGTTGCAACTATAGTATTTTGTATGTCAGAGTTGGTAAAACATTTCAAGAAATGAACAGAAAAGGAATTTATAGGAACACAATGTGTGTTGATCCTGCTTCTTAATCTTATTGTGAATAAGGAAAAAAAACAGCTGCATTTGACTGTTTTGTAAAGACATACTAGTTTTTGAATGGTTAAGAGATTTTAGTTAGTTCTAGGTTTTACAAAACACCTCAAATAAATCAAAAATTTAAAACAAATTAATATGACCATAGTATGTACATGAATACAGTAATAAATATGCCATGTATGAAATCAGTTAAATTCAGAAATGGCTCTGTGTTCTGATTTAAAAAAAAAAAAACAATCAAAAAACAGTCGAGTCAAGAACAAGTGGTTGTGGTGTAAAAGGTGATAGATTTTGAACAATACACCCTGATACTAAGATTACTGAGATACCACTGAACAGTTCTTGTACATAAAATAGAAAATACACAAAGTTAAAAAATCTCTTTGGACAGTCCATACTCCTCTATTTAAATTCTACAATAAAAACCCGGTCATCAGAGACAATGTAGGCTCTCCCTTCTTCAGTGTATACCAAAATGTAACACTGTCAGTCGTACCTCCTCTGTCAGCTTCAGTCACTCAGACTGATGTCTGTAAATAATGTGGACGCATTTGTCAGGTCTTCAGAGCCGCCGTCTGGGGCACTGTGTTCAGTTCAGCATCCTCTGCACAGAGCAGTGAATCAGTACTCCTCGAACATCTTCGAAACATCCAAAGGCTGCCTGCTTCTCTCAGATCAGTCAGGAGACCGTCAGGCTTCACGCTGTGGCTGCAGATCCAACACGTAAAACACAGCCTCACAGTCACACGAATCCAGGCTTCATGGAGGACTTAAAACATTTAGGACAACCCTTCGTTCCGTTGGTCTGCAGACACCTGAAAAAAAAATAATGTGGTTATCTGTCAAACCTTAAAATAAAGAAATACACATATTAAAGTACCACTCTGACTAGATTTCCTTTTAGAAACCAGATCTGAAAACCTAACCAGTGTGAATAACATCTACATCACTCTACATCACCCCTGTTACTTCCTTTATGGGCAAAGTTATGTATAAAAAGTATCAAAATAAAAACCAGTTGATTAGTTTTATTTAAGAAATGTACTATGTGTCAAAAATAATAAAAAATAAGAATACACTCTGCTAGAACACCCACTTGAAATGGAAAATATGGGAACAGGGTAAGGCCTGCAGCTTTTGGTCCCTGTCCCCAATGGACTCTCCACACATGCCGCAGTAGAGCTCCAGCTCCTCGACACACTGCAGGAACTTCACCACCTGCTCTCTGAGCTCCTTCTGCTGCCCCCGACTTCGATAAATCCCCTCACTCAGGCAGTGAACCTTCAGCGTACACAGCTTAGGATACACAGCAAAAAGACTGTGAACATGATACAGTACATGGTGTGATATCAGAAATAACCCCGAGCCATTTGTCCTGTAGGTTCTAAGTAAAGAACATTAAATACCTTGTTTCCCATTCCATCTGCTAATTCCTGTGCTCGCTGCAAAGAATCAAGAGCCTGGAACAGGGA